CAGTCTGAACACTGGACCTGGTTCTGTTCATGTCCTCTGTCAGCAGCTGCTAGCATCAGTATTATGGGATGGATCGTGGTTAGGGTGTGTGATCTGGATGATGATCAGAAATAATCATCAACAGTCTGATCAGATAAACGACAACAACAACAAAACAAGTCTTTTATCATAAAGTAATTGAGAAGCACAAAGAACGTGACTCTGATCAGAAATGAACATTTATTACTACCGTAGACACAGAAGGAGGAGGACGGGCAGCAGATGTGACCTGACAAGCCTTCTGTCATTATTCATGGGGAGAAGCAAACAAGAAAAATAACGAGTTTCTGTTGGTGTGATGGTGGAGCAGGGGGTCCATTAGCTGTCGACCAATCGGTTGATCAGCTTCAGTGTCATTTACATGGAAACAGTCTGAACTCTGTGATTTCAGCTCCTTCATGTGAATATTTTCTGGTTTCTTTCCTAAAACACGACATTTGAGGAAACTGATCCAACGTAAGCAGAGACCGTGGTGTGTATGAGAGCTCCAGCTGATGTCCAATAAATGGCTGTCGAAGTACATGAAGCGTTGCAGTTCTTGGGGGAAATCGAACAGAGCTCTTGCAGACATTGTAGACCTCTCATTGAGTTCTACAGGATCCTCCGGTAGATCCTGTCGACTTCAGATGTTGTAGTTCCTGTAGAAGTTCTTACAGAGCGTGTAGAGGTTTGACACAACTTTGTAGATCTTGAAAAAGTCTAGCACAGACCTGCTAGTCCGGTTGTTTCTGCAGGTCTTGCACCATTCTTGTAGGACTTTCAAAAGTCTGACACAGTTCTTGCGGAATTTGCAGAGTGGTAGCAGATGTCCCACAGGGCCTACAGAAATGTAAGACTTGCAGTTCTTGGAGAAGTCTAGCAGATGTCTGCAGATCTTCTAGACATCTGGTAAAGTTGTTGAAGTGAATATGCAATGATCCAACAAAACTCTGGTGGCTGCAGTGGAGTGGAGATGTTGCAGATGTAGGAGAACTCTTCTAGAGCGTGTAGAGGTTTGACACAAACCCTGCAGATCTTGAACAAATCTTGCAGACGTCTACAAGTCTTGAAGTACATCTCCATCTTGCAGGACCTTGAAAGATGCGATAGAGCTCTTGCCGACCTTGTAGCGGTCTCACAGCGCTCACTGAGAGGTTGTTCAAAAGGAGGATCTCAGTCTTACAGATGTGGAAGCAGCTGGAGTCCACTTAACCTGAGCAGCTGCCTGATGGATGGTCTCCTCTGGGATCCCCGTCAGGTTTGGTGGAGGGGAGTCGCTCTGTGGTGGAGAAGTTCTGGATCCATTCTGTTGCAAGTCACCGGATGGGACGTCCTTATCACCAAGAATCAGAGTTTCCCTCAAAAACTGCACACACAGAACACAACACTGGAACAACCCAAACTAGAACTCAAACTATCTGTGATAGAAACACAAGTGACACCAAAGTAGAACCAACTGAAGCAGCAGTTTGATGACAGGCTACAGTCTGGTTGTACCTGGTTCTCAGCCAGGGCCTCTTTAGCCATGTAGTGCTCCCTCTTTATCTTCATCTCCACCTCTTCAGGGATGTCAGGAACCATCAGATCAATCAGGCGGCCGATGAAGAAGACCACATGCTGAAGAAGAGAGATGGAAAACCCTTCAAGACCTTCCATGAAGTCTGAGCAGCATCCAGACCTCCTCGTTCACTGATGTGCAGTAAAGTTCATGTTTGGATGTTTTTGCTACATTTTGGTTCGTAGCAAAGACTGCAAATAGTTTAACCTTCGAAAGTGAAAGTTCACAGCTCCGGTGAATCTCTACAAGCTTCCAACATGCAGTTGCATCAAAGTAACCTGAAGGGTGAGAGACACCGACCTCAAAGACGATGATAAAACCCAGACGTATAGCGAGGAGGTGGAAGTACTCTGGCAGGTATTCACCGTTTTCATCCCTGAAGCCTCGATACCTGCGATTTACCACAACAAACATCGAGTCAAACACCTGCAGTGACACCAGAGGATCCTCAGTATCTCCACCAGCAGCAGCACATGCAGCCGCAGCGCCGTCACCGACCTGCAGGAGGCGTTGTGGTGCCGCTGGCTGAAGACGTGTGGCGATGTGGCCAGAGTGAAGTCGATGAAGCCGCTCAGCGTGCTGTCTCTGGTGTAGCGGTAGTACAGCCGAGGCAGGAAGGACGAGGTGAACGCTATGAGGAACGCCTGGAAACACAAAGTTCACGTTCTGCTGACGCGGCGCTTTCACCAACACGTCCTCACTGACATGCAGAGACTTACGTTGCTGAGGACGGCCATGTGTGTGATGAACTGCAGGATGGGGAACCAGATGCCGATGTCCTGAGCTCGCTCCACCACCGGGCGGCGATATTCCGTCACAAACTTGTGAGCGTCCAAACGAATCTCCACCCAGTTATTGATGAGAGCGAAGAGAGGTGCGAGAGGACACGCCGCCACGAAGATGGTGATGAAACCAAACTGCAGCACTGAGGAGGAGGAGCCAGATGTAGATTAAACGTGTAACGCTGCCAAGTTAAACAACAAGCACTGAGCAGCGACCTGCCAGACCTCCACCAGCACCAACACAACACTGGTGCTGGTCTGACGGGTCAGGGTCACATAAAACTGTTCATCTCCCAGGATGTTCATTGGTCCAACACGTCTGGACTCACCTGTCTCCAGGTATTCATCGAACAGTCCTCCGCAGACCTGCAGCTGGTAGTCGGCCTCCCACTGAGGAACCTCCTCGTACTGCTGCTGATCCCTCTGAGCCTCCTCTTCATCCTCCTTCTTTGTCTGACGATTCAGCTTCCTCCTCTGCCACCATGACTTCAGCTTCCTGGTGGACAGTGAGCCTTCAGGTTAATTTAAAAATAATCATTTAACAGATTGATGTATATATATATTTATATATATAATAGATCAGCAATAAGGCTGCAGAAGGAGGACATAATGTCAGTGAATGTACCACAGACCAGCTGTAGTACCTGGTTGCTCCACCAGGTGGAGCCTCCTACTGTTTGATGCTGTCGAGACCAGAGGAGGCGTCACTCAGACGACACTCCAACATCACGTTCTTTGTATTTTTACTTTCACTTTGCCCTCCTGCTGCCCTCACACAGGACACAGTGTTCACAGCAGCGTCCGACCGCTGATCATCTGTCATCACATTAAACATTCAACATGCTGCCTGCAAACTGCAACATCTGACGGAGTGGAGAAGGACATCCTGGTCCTTCTGAGGTACGAAGGTTGACGTACTGAGTACTGGGACAGACTGAACCTCTTTCTGTTGCATCCTCATGGTGGCAGCAGAGAGCATTGTGGGAGTTTAGCAGCAACGGGACCATGACAGAGACTCTGAGGAGGTCCAGGACCTCCAAGCAGAGCTCAGGTGTTCAGGTCCTAATGTGTGGAGGAGCTCTATGTGTTCTGTGTCAGCTAAAGGCCTCCTCTGATGGAAATCAAGTGTTTTACTTTATTCACAGTCCAAATGGGGTCAACTCAAATAAAATCAACTAAATCTGAAAAGTTCCCTCCAGAACCTCCTCAGAACATCTGGTTCTGTATCTGCAGCACCTTTATCTACTGACCAGAGTTCTACCTTCAGACTGTGAATGTTCCAGAGGTCCAGGTCCTTGAAGTCCACAGAGGAGGGTCCAGATTTCTGAGCCTCAGAACTTCATCAGAACAGCAGACAGACACATGACATTTGTTCTGTTGTCACACGTGTTTGTTTCCTTACAGTAAGAAGAACTCCTGGATGTTGTTGATCAGCTGTTTTCCCACCATGATGACCAGCAGCTCCTGAGCCAGATCGATGAGACATCCACCTGCTCCACACTGTGAGGAAACATCGTTTACAGCAGCGACTACAGCCCACAAAGACATATAAAACCCGCATCTCCTCACAGTAATCAGATTACTTCTAACAGTATTGCCTGATATCAGATTACAAACTACCAGGTTAGATTTCCTGTTTAAAATTCAGGCTCAGCAGCAGGAACTNACAGTTTGTTTTGTCTTTTAAAAATTATTCTTTTCAACCACAATTCAAAAGCAACGTTTGATTTCACTAAATTATAATTTAACACATTTGTATTTATTTTTCCTTTTGTAGTTTCTGGTTATTTGAGCGGCTGCTGAGTTTTGTCTTTTCTTTAATGGACGATGGGGATGAACACGTGAGTGGTTGGAAGCTCACCGACTCCAGTGGATCCGTCACTGAACACGCTCCTGTCTGGAGGCTGAACTGGTGCATTCTGGGAAACAGCAACACGTTAAACAAGAAGCTTTGATCTGTTTGTTTCTGCTGGAAGTAATCAGATTACTTATCAGGTTTCTGTTCAGCTTGTTGAAGAGACTCGAACGTCTTCAGACGCCCTGACCTCGTCCTGACCTCGTCCTGACCTCGTCCTCATGGCGTCGCTGTTTTACCGTCTCACCTGTAACAGCTGCTCTTCTCATCTTTAGTGTTTTCCTGTTTAACACCAACTCAGACTCGTCTAATGTGAGAAGCTGCTCTGCACCGAACAGGTTCTGATTCTGATGTTCCAGCAGCAGGAAGTCCGTCCAGCTTCCTGTCGCCTTCATATCTACTCACAGAAACGTATGCTGTTGTGCATGAAGTTGGAAAGCTGTCGCACCGTAAACGGCCTGACACTCAACACGTCTGATGTCAAACCTACAAACTACCACAAACTGTCCATAGAAACACTTAAAACATGAATTCACAACAATTTCACACATCTTTATGTTCATCTGATAACAAGCTGCTAAATTTAGGTTTAATCCTGTAAGTACATTTGCTAGCAGTCGATCCTGTGAGTGACTGTTTAGTTTTACTCAGATTTGTTTGTTAAATGAGATTTCTTGTATAATTACAAAAGTTTTCACAACTAAAGTTTTGAATGAAGCTGTTTCCATCAGCGTAGAACATCTACAAGCATCTGTGGCCCCTCAAACAGCTGTTATCAGTATTTGTGCCATTTATCTTCGTATCTATCGATCATTTGAGAAGAATATTAAATACATGTAAATATCCTTCATGAAACATTAAAAAGGCTCAAAAATAAAGATGATCGAATGTCAAATGTCCGTTCAAAATGTGTTCTAATCACACAGTGTTTCTTCAGATGTTCAGTCTCTCTGATTTCAAAGATTCAGAGAAAACCTGGAATATTAAAAGTACAAACATTCCTTTAATTAAAATACATTTGACGAACTGGAATATTCCAGTTTGTTGTTTATTCAACCACGTTTGAATCTAACTGTGGTTCTGAACAGCAGAGGCTCCTGGACGTCGCTCTGAGGGACTCCGATCAGCGCTACTGATGAGGTCAAACAGCTGTTACCGTGGTGACGCGGTCCCAGCTGTCCTCTGCATTGGTTTCCATGGCGATGAGCATAGCGCTGTCAGCGCTCTGCTTCCTGGTTCTCCACATCGTGTTGCCTCCTTCACATTCAAAACCATCAAAACTTTAGTGAGCAGACAAACTGTTTCTATTAATGATGATGGAGTAAAACCAGCTCACATGCAAACAGACAGAATCACGCTTTGATTCATGACTTTTTCTGCTGTAACAACAAACGTCTCCTGTTCTCTAACAACACTGTGTACTCATCAACATCTTATGGGTCCATATTTATGACTTTGGCTGCTTCCTGCTCTGTGAAACTGTTGAATGTGAACTGAAAGTTGGTTTGTGGCGCCGTCAGGACAGTCGAACAGGGTTCAGGTTGGATAAAGGTTCAAACGCAAAGACAGCAGACAGGCTGCTGGGTAAAGAAACGCCTGCAGACAGCACTCAGGGCTGAACAGGGGGTTTGATTTCTGCATGTTTTCTGATTTAAAGTTTGTCTGGTGTCTTTATTTAGAACATCAGAGGCAGTAAAGTTCTGGTTCTTTGGCTGTTTTTGCAAAATAAAACAATCTTTCACTGAGTTTAAAACCCTGAACGAAGCTGCTGCTAAACAGGAACCAGACCAAATTAAATGCTGCGACTGAACTCTTAGAGTGTTTTTATCACATATATTTACACAGATGATCAGCTGATACCAACTGAACCTACCGATCAGCAGCATTGATCACATACATGAATGAATGCTGTTTAAACACAGACTTCTGTTTGTGGAATCCGTCATGAACGAAGGTTTCCTGGTCGGTTCAAACACTTTGACAGAATAACTGCGTTTACACTCACCTGTGGTTCAGCCAGACTCAGGTGAAGCTCAGGTGAAGCTGCAGGTGAAGCTCAGGTGGATCTGAAGATGTCTGTTTGCACCTGCAGGGTGACCGAGATAAGCCCCGCCCCCTCCTCATGAACTACAAACACCTGTAGTTTGTTGTTTCACCTTCACAGACGTGTTCAACCCTTAATAAGGTTTACATATATATTTATATGTATAAATATATAAATCACCATCAACACACCAGAACTTGTTCCTCACGGCGGAATAAAGGAGTTCTAATTTAAAGTTCTGTTGGAGAAAGCCCGTCTGTACTGAGACCCAACTTCAGGTCATTTAAATATTCTGCCTCGAGTGTTTCTGTCCTCATCAGTTTGTTCTGAGTGTTTGTTCAGGCGGGTTCAGTTACCTGACAGTTTTCACCTGAAACTATGTTCACTCACCTGCAACAACAGAATTCACTTATGAGATCTTTCTATATTTAAACGAGTATGTTGGAACCGCCTGAAGCCCAAAACCTGCCGGCACACTGAAGCTGTTAGCTTTGGAAACATAAACCCGATAAACAGCAGAATGACCCGATCCATCGGCACAAACTGTTCAGACGACAAGAATCCACAGAACCGTTCCATCAGGAGAACCAACCAAATCCAACCTTAAATACTTCACCACAATTCTACGTCCACCTATAAACGATCTAAAGATAAAGTGTTTGCAGCAGATCCTGTAGAACCAAAACCCTCCTCCTCCTGGGTCTGACCCTGTAGAACCAGAACCTTCCTCCTCCTGGTTCTGACCCTGTAGAACCAGAA